TCACTTACTGTTTCGATTGGACATAATACCCACTTGATTGAATTCCCATATTGCTGGCTTAAACCAAAAGAAAACTGTTTCACATTTCACTTAACTCACCTCGAAACACGTCTTGCATTATCCTTATATAGGACCCCAGCCGTATTTGCCATTGTTTTCAAGCGCAGCAATAAACATTATTCTGCACTCCTTAATAAATGCCAATCCATTAGGCCTGCCAGACACAAAGGACTCGGGGACACAGGACGTGAAGGACATGGTGAGCCATTCCGTACGGCAGTGCAACAAAGAACCCTCGACGGCAGTAAAAACGCCCCAATATAGTACAGAAGGATATACATTCGGGGCAAGGATGTGCGGCATAGGAGAGTGGTGGCAGGAGCAGGACGAACGAAGGAATTCGAGCATTGTAATTATATTGCTGGACATCCAAGACATCCAGAAAGTGGCGCACTTACGGCCACAATGCCCTGGGTCGCTCATCAAAATTGCTTTTATGTGTGGCCGAAGGAAGCGCACATAAAATTTATGCCTCGGGCTCTACGTCCATTTTCCCCGACTATGTCGTCTCCCCTTAGGGCCAGATGTTTCGACTACGTTTGCATAGTTTATTTGAAAAGAGCACAGACAGAAATGGGTTTTTGATTAATTAAAGAAAACTAGATATGTAAAAATTATAGTTAATTATTCAACAGAGTAGAAAGTTAGGAGAGTGCTTTGATTTGTATGATTGAAATTAGCACTCCATTTCTCTTTTTAAATTGTAGTTTCCATTAAATAATATTTTTCTCTCACTGTAAAAACTGTTTATGTCCAGAACTGTGTGTGGGCGTGTCAGTCGCCCACTGTACGTGCGGTCATTATTCTTTATTTGTTGGTGGTTTCTGGCTGCAGCTCGTATTATTGTAACGCCTTTTTGACACTACTAATTTTAGTTTTATTTTCTAGGCTTTGCGTAGTGGGGGTGTGAAAGCCTCTACTCCTTTAGAAAGTACCTTTTCGATAGGGTATTTCATTTGGTCTCCTAACTTGGACTCTTGTTTTATTAATAAACAAAAATAAGTGTATGAATATACAATAATTTCAAACATGCCACTCCACTAAATACTCCCTTTAATGTGATTTCATGTTGCTCTTTGATTTCGTCCTTTATTTTCCTGAAATGTCATGTATCAATTATAAAATCCAATTAATTTTCAGTTACTAATTAAAAATATTTACTTAGTTTTCATTTAAATGATCAACCAAGCGTATTTGTAAGCCTTTTTGTACAACTTCGCACCCTCAGGGCAAACGAAATTCGTATTTTCAACACAAATAAGTCCGGCATTTCATTATTGTCGAAGCAGCCGCAACTACCCAACTTTTGTTTATGGCCAACAGAATGGAAAGTTATTTACTTATATGCTTTATTTTATGGCCAGCACATGTCCCAGGTTCTAGTGTAATTATGTGTTGATTTGCTTCCTCCCTCTAAGTCGGAAGTAGTTGGGCATTAAATTCTTAAATTTGGTGCGGCTGAGGCCCGGATTGCTGGAATATTTGTGTGTCATTTAGTGAATGGTAAAATGGCAAAAGGCACGTAATCTCGGCAGCCAGGAATTCTGGGGGTTTCACTCGCCGTCTGGGTAATCCACAAGGAATTTCACAGTTTTTCCAACGAGGCAGCCCCCCTTTGCCGCGTTCTAGCTTTTTGTGTATGCTGGATTATTGTGTATTTTAATGCCACAAAAGCAACACGCGGCTCTACTGAATTGTTTTCTTTTTTTTACGATTTTTTCTGTACGTTTTTTGCCTTAGCTTTTTGTTTGTGGTTGTTGGCGCCGCTGTCGACGCATTTGCAGAATGTAGGTACCTTCCACTGGTTCCAAAAAAGGTAGACCAAGATAAGCCACCGAAAAAAAATAAAACAGAAACGAATAAAAGCGGAGGGGACAACAATAACACTGCGTATTGTGTATAGAAAATGACAGCGGCCCAAACAAATAAATTAAAATGCGCGACAGCGCACCAAACAAAGTTTTCCACACCCTCGAAATGTCTGTGAAAATGAGGTATATCGTTTGCAAGAAAAGTCGGAAAAGGTAGAGTGTTTTGAGGGGAAAACTTTCAAGTTTGTAGCGAACAGGTTCGTGCTTAAAATACTGTAAATGAAAGTTTTGTTTTACTTTGAAAATAAAGAACAAAAATTCTTAACTATCCTCTATAGTTTATCTATATTTTCTATATATTTTTAAATAGATTCAAGGTTTTATAATGTAACATCTTAAGCATTAAGCTGTAGGGTTTAACAGGCCACATTTTCCTGGCATTCCCTTGTGTCTAAACCAAAATCCTGTCGGATTTTCAGGACCCTCTCGTGCCATTGGCATTCCAGGGCCATTCCTAGCCATGCGGCTCCTGCTGCACCCCTGTGGCTGTGTCAATATTTGCCACAAATTGAAATTAGCAGCGCGTTAAGAGCACCTGTACACCATGTCCCAGTCCCTAGCGCCTAGTCCCCAGTCGCGGTATCCTTGGCTGCCATGTCCTGCTCCCCCTCCTGGCATTCGGCATCACGCATCCCGGTTACAGTGTTGCCAATGCCGGGCACATAATCCCCGTAAATTAATATGCTGCACATGTGTCTGGTCCTGGGGACTAACATTCCGGGACACTCCCTCTCTTTGCTATCTGCTTTCAGCTGAAGGAGTACGAGCTGAGCGAGGTGTTCAACATTGCCGAGGACGATCGCAAGTACGAAACGGTCCAGACCCAGACACACCTGGATGCGGAGCATAACCACGTCGAGATGAACAATGAGCTCTCCGCCAGCATCGAGCGGGAGCGGCAAACGGAGCAGCAGCAGTCGCAGCAGCAGCAGCAGCAACAGCAGCAACATCAACAGCAGCAGCAGCAGCAACAGTTGCAGCAATTCGACGAAAGGCAACGCATTCGCTCCCAGCTGTTGGCCAAAATGAATCCCATGTAAGTGCCATAAATGTGACTAAAGTTGTAAGTTAGTTAAGCTAAATAAAGGGGAAATTACGTTGGGGAAGATAATTGGTCAATAGAAAATATTAGGAGCTTAGTTTAAGATTGTTTGGCATTTCATAAATATTTCTCTTGGATTTTTAAATCCATTCCATTACCACAATTCCTTTTTTGGAAACTTTAAATCGATATTTATAAATGTAATTTTCCGCGAAAAATCAAAGTTTAAAAATCCCATAACTTAACCAAAAATGGATTAATTTTCATTCGGAAAACTGTTTTGTCTTAGTTCTTATTAGCTTCATAAATGTGCATATTAGTTTAACGGATTTATAAAATTGAGATTTTTTCGTTTTTTTTACAATTTTAACGATTGAACCCCTTATGAAATTTTCAAAAATTAAGAAAAAATTAAAAAAAGATTTTTTACAAATTTGGTTACTAAATAACTAAGATTTTTATTCCGATTCGGAATATACATGCCTTTTTGCAATTACTTGCTTTTTGGCCATGTTATGCCCTTTAAAATACCTGAAATATGCGTACTTTTTAAGAACTTTCGGTTAATATTTTCGATATATTTTTAGTTGTGAAATCGGAGTTTAAAATAACTATTACTTATCCAAAAAAGAATGTATCTTTATTCAGAAATCATTGGGAAATAAATAAAAATATATTGGGTACCAAACTTTTTAAAAATAACAGCAAACACAAATATTTCCTGCAGAAGGGGTTTCCCAAAATATAGTTGTGCCTTTTGGAATGTAAGTCTTTCAATCTTAACAGTAAGATAAGGAATTAGTCATTAGTTTTTTTTAAATGAAACATTCATACATGACTTCTAACTTACCTTTGCATATTAGCTTACAAAACATTCACAATAAAATGTTAAATGAAATCTAGAGTTCCAAAAAAAAACGTATAGAAAAATACATAAAAAACATAAAGTAAGTAACATATTTTCTTGACTTAGTAACAACAAACAGTTCAAGGCTCCACAGCCTTGAATTTCCTAAAGAATATTACAATGTCAGTGTGTTAAGCTCACCATAAACAAAAAGGTACAAAATGCGTTATCTTCATTTTATCAATGAACGAAAACAAATGATTAATCAATAGATATTGTCGCGTTGGCCCCAGTGTAACTATATTGTCTGCTAGAAATACTTTTCAAACTAGCAACATTAAATGTGTAAACTACTTAAGCTTAGGTTTCAGGCCAAGACTAAACTTTAAATGCCACATTGCGTATACCTAATCTGTTTTGGAGTGCAGAAGGCGCCTCAATTGGCCCTATTTAACATATGCGCAAAGTGCTTTCCCCTAACTCAAGACCAACTACTTTCAACACTCTGGGATATATGTATGTGCTAGGATATTCGCATTCACATATTTAAAGCGACGTGCCAAGCCTCGAGCTGTTGGAAAAACAACGAGCGAGTAGTGGGTGGAAAGAAAACAGCTTTTCTGGCACACTCCAAAGGCGCATTACACCACTTTCTGAGAAGGAGTAGGGAGCAGCAGCAGTATAGTGGCCCTGCTGGCACGTACCTGGGTAATGCTGCATCTTTAAAAAGCCGCCCCAGAAAACTCGACGAGAGGCGAACTACAAACTAATCCCTGCTAACAGTTCCAGTCTCTTATCCAGCATCCAGCATCCAGCACAGAGCCCAGAGCCCGGGCTCCGTTTCTTCCCCTTTCCGGACCGCTTCGGTTTATTTTCGTGCCACTTTTGGCCGAGTGGATTTTGGCACCATTGGCACTGGTAACCTGCATATTTAATGACAATCCCGGGACGTGTTCGAGTGCCAAGAGCGAGCCTCTCCTGGCACTTTGACAGGGGCGGAAACAAAGTCCAGGCCGGCAGCCGTGATAAGTCTGCCAAAATACTGAACTCGCATGCGGACCAGTTCTGTAGTAATTACTATCTTATCGATGGATCCGCCACCGTTGTCGTTGTCATCGCGGGTGGCCTATAAAACTGGAGGAATGGCCGGCCATCGAGTGTAATCAGACGAAGAGTTAAGTGCCAGCAACATGTCCGGAATTCCGCCAGCCACTTTCACGGTAATAGCCGGAGCAGCCAATCACAATCAGCGACGTCAACGGCAAACGAAAAATTCCGCAAACTCAATTAACAGTAAGGAAAATGGAAAAGCCAGTCCATAATGTTATGGTCAAAGTATAAGCCTAAACAATTTTGTTTTTAGAGAACGAAAACCAGCAACAAAAAGCGCAAGAAGTAGGAAAAAAAGAGCAGCCGTCGGGGTCGAAGACAAATAGTTGCCACATTGCTTAGGTATAGATATAGTAACTATCTTATCTGTAACCAAGGATTTAACGCATGAAAATACATTTCCAATGACATAAACATCGAGTATAAATTGGCCGAACAAAGCATTTTGGGTTTCAGTAATGGTAAATGGGCACAACGAAAACGAGACAAAATGAAGACGACCATTGTGGAGGAGCGAAGTGTTAACGAAACGATAGAAACGATAGCCACCAGCAGTGGAACGATCCAGGAGACCATCGAGGTGGTCAACATTAACGAGGGATCACCTGCACCAAAGCAACGACATCATCACCATCACCATCGGCATCATCATCATCATCAGAGGCAGGAAAATGTGGAAGTTGTGGAAACGGAGGAAGTGATTGTTCTGGATGCAGAAGAAAAACCTCGTAGCAAGCATCATCACCATCATCATCATCACAAGCAGAAGGCTTCGCCGCCGCCTCCGCTGCCAGAAACCTCTCCGCCCTTCCTCACGCCAACCGACGAGGAGGACGAAGTGGATTTCAATGTGGTCTGGAAACCCCAAGCTTTTTGGACCCAGCCCTCACCCAATCCCTCTACGGATCTGGATCTCTCGGCAGAGAAGGAAGTCGAGGAGATATTGGACACCACCTCGGCATCAGATGAATTCACCACAGTTGTGTGGCAAACGGAGACCAAAGAGACCACAAGGGAATCCCTGAAACACACAAGGGTGGTGCAGGAGGAAATCATTGTTGACCAAGTGGATCCTCCGGCTTATGCACCACCACAGCTAAAAGTGCAAACGGGTTTCTTCCCGTCGGGAGTTCAGCAGCCTTCTTCACTTTCACCCATTGCCGAAGTAGTGCAAACGGATATAATTGTGGAATCAGAGGATCCTCCACCATTCTCGTACATTCCCAGGGTGAATCTAGTTCCCACAGAGACCGTTGTAGAGACTGTGACAGTGGCATCAGTTCCAACTGCAGCTCCTACTCCAGCTCCTGCTCCTGCTCCTGCTCCTGCTCCAGCCTCTGCTCCTGCTCCAGCCTCTGCTCCTGCTCCAGCTCATATAGAACAGGAACCGGAATATCTTCCTCAGCCGGGATTTGTGGCCAGAATTATAGAGAATATTGAAGTGGCTGCCGCTTCCCAATCCCTTCAGGCTCCAGCTCCAGCTCCAAAGGTTTCCAAGTCTGGAGGATTAGTAGAAACAATTGTGGAGGATATTCAAGTAACAAAAGAGGAGATCCGAAATCCTGGAGAAGTAATAGTTGAATCCGTTGTGGAGACCATAGATGCAGACTCACCTTTTCTACTGCCAACAAATGGTTTCGATTCTGAAGAGGAAACAAATGTGGAAACTATTGATGTTATGACGGAAGCTGATTCTCCCTTCTTGCTACCAGTTAATGGTTTCGATTCAGAACCCACCTATGTTGAATCTATAGTAGAGAATATAGAAGTTGTACAACCGGAATCTGTTACAAAATTCCAGTTGAAAGTGCGGCTCCTAAGGCAGGTTTTGTTGAATCGATTGTGGAAAATATAGAAGTTGAAGAAGAGGAAGATCCTCCTTTCCTGCTACCCGGCCAAACTGGATTTAATCCTCAGCCCGGTAATGTAGAATCAATTATAGAGAATATAGAAATCACCTCAGAAGTGGATCCTCCTTTAAGGCCTCCAGTGCAAAATGAATTCCAGCCTCGATCTGGATTCGTGGAATCAATTGTGGAGACCATTGAAGTTGAACCAGTAGTGGAGCCCCCGCAGCCAGTTATTCCGGCTACTGTGATAACTCAACCTGGTTTGGTAGAAACCATGGTGGAAACTATAGAAGTTATAGAGGATGTGAGTCCTCCAGTTACACCTCCTATTCCAATCGATGTCCCCACTAGTGCTGGCCTGGTGGAATCTATTGTGGAAAATATAGAAGTCACAGCAGAGGAAGATCCTCCTCTAAGGCCACCTCTTCCTATTGGTTTCCCACCTCAATCTGGGTACGTGGAATCGATTGTAGAAGATATAGAAGTAACTGAAGTAAGTCCACCAGTGCCACCTCCAGTTCAAATCGATATAATTCCCCAGACGGGCTTTGTTGAAAATATTATTGAAAATATCGAAATCCAAGAAGAGCCTGAAGTTGTGGATACCATTGTGGAAGAGATCGAAGTAATACCAAATGCTCCATTACGGTCAGTGGTAACCACAGATTATATGCCTCGCTCCAGTATGGTGCAAGAACTAGTGGTGGAATCCCTGGAGGTAACACCCACGTCATCTCCTCCCCCGGAACAGTTTCCCTTTATCTCTCGAGAGAGTCTTATCGAGGCCGATACCTATGTGGAAGTTGAGGAAGTCAACTCTTACTACACAGCCCAGCAAAGTCCCGAGGTGGAAGTGAAGAGCTTGAGCGAAGCCGAGGCTTATGTGGAGATTGTAGAAGTAACACCTATAAATACACCCCCATGCAGTCCTTCGCTGCAGGGACCTGTCGAGATGGGCTTTATCCCCGACCAAGTCTGGCGGAAACAGCAGTAATTGTGGAATCCCTGGATGTTACTCCTACGCCCAGTCCTCCGCCGACTCCTCCACTAAAACTAAGGATACCTCCTCCGAGCCAGCCTGAAGCTGAGATAATTGTAGAGTCCGTGGATGTTACTCCGACTCCGACCCCACCAATTGTCAATCCCCAACCAAAGACGAAGCCACTTAATAGCTTTATTCTAACCGATTTGGTTATAGACGATCCTCCCATCGTAGAAGTAGTGGAAAGAGAAATCCTTGTGGAGTCCTCACCAAACGGCAATGTTACGGAAGTCATAGAAATCACTGAAGAAATTGTGGAGCCTCCCACTCCCATTGGAACTGTTTTGGTGGGTGAGATTTCCGAGCAAAGTAACGACAAACTCGGCAAACGATATTCCCTGAGTGCGGCCTTGGCCCAGGAGAATAATCCGGAAAAGACGCAGGAGCAGCCCACGGAGACACCCATGCAGAAGAGGGACATAGCAGCCGAACCACCAAAACGTAAATGTTGCCCTTGCAAATGCACAATTTCCTAGATCCCGAGGTCAGGGGCTTCCCCCATAGGCAAGGCAAGTGAAACCCATGAATCAGTTCCCTATCAGAGTCAGAATGCATATCATACAAGCCCATCAAATACATTTAATTAAACGAAATCTTATCGCTAACCGAGTGTTTCTCTTATCAGGGTGCGAGTGTAAGCTCCCCCGCTTTCACCTATCGCATATCTAATCAGCGGAAGAAACAGAAGCCCCCGAAAAAATACAAATACAAAAGAATAGAAATCACAGTAATTGATAGTTAATTACCAGCGGCCACGCGAGGCAGCGGCAAAGATAAGGGCCTTTTGCGGAACCCTAGAAGGTAATCGTTCAGAAAGTGCTGGTCAGTCAGTCGTTAGCCATCGGTCAAGATGCCACCACCAGGACGTGGCTATGGAGGACCTCCACGCCAGGGGCCTGGAATTGCCTACGGACCACCGCCGCCTCGTGTAAATGTCGGTATCAATATCGGAGGACCACCACGTCCACCACCCATAGGAGTGGGCATTGGTTTTGCTCCTCCACCAGTGGTAATTGCCCCACCGCCGCCACCAGCTGTGATCATTGGAGCACCACCACCACCGCCCGTGGTTGTGGCACCGCCGCCAATGAGACCCACCGTTGTGGTGGGTGCCCAGCCCCCGGTAGCCACTGTGTATGCCCAACCCTCTGGTGAAGTCTTTTGCTGCACAATTCTCTGATTTCTGATTGAATTTGCAAAATGTGTATTTGTGTATTTCTATATAGAATTATAAACTACTTTTATATTGTTTATATTAGTGAAATAAAATAATTTATTCGTGTTACTGTTATGTTAAATAAAAACTTTAATAATGGGAATTTAATCTGAAATTGAGTGAAACTTGAATCGAACTCTGATAAGTATATAAATAAATTGTGTTTGTTGAATTTAAAGAGATTAATATATTTTGGATTGGAATTTTAACTTCATAATTCAAGCTATAATTTCTTTACTATAATTGAATATTTCTCCAGATATTTTCTCATTATCCAATAATTCCGAGCAAATATATTAAAGTAATTGAATTGCAAACTGTCAAATTCGAAACAATTGTCAGTTCAATTATGCAGTGTGAGAAAATAAATTATTATATATACATGTATACATTAATCCGATTTTGCTGGCCCATTTTTTTGTTGCAATTTGATAAACAAATTCACCTCGACTTGATGAGCAATTTTCCCGTCACATGTCCAAAGAGGCCCTGAGTCACTTTTCACCCCCCGCCCAGCTGAGCCAAGCTGTGTGAAAATGCAAATGAAAATTGCTCGCGAAACAACATTTACTTAATACATTTTGATGTGCTCATCTAACGGTAATTGCCGAGAACATGATCGAAGCAAATTGTCGCTAATAACTTCCATGTTCCCAAGAAGAAAATTCAAGACTGCCAAAGGTACTCGCCTTTCTCCGCTAAAAGAAATGGAAAAGGAAAAAATGCTGTATGTAATTTCAATTTGGGAATTTTCCTCATTATTTTCGTCGGGCCCATGGCGCTTTCGCGTTCCTTCTCCTGGGTCTTTCAATATTTTTTGCCAATTTATTTGCCTGCTCCTTGCTCCTCCAGCTGCCAGCTCCTTGCTGCCACGAGTCCTGCTCCTTTCGTCAGTGTCTGACTGCGCCTGTTCGTCCTGTTCCGTCTGCCTTTTGATTTTTTATTATTATTTGCGCGATTTTGCAAGCGGCAGCGTCGGCGGCATGTGTATGCAAATAAACGAAAAACTGCAGGAAACAAAACACGGAAGTTGCCCAGGAAGGAAGGCAGGAAGGAAGGAAGCCAGGCAGCGCCACAGCCAAACGTCGCGGATCGAGTTTGGGGAATGGGAAAGGGGATGGCACCCGAGACCAGGGACTGTGGTTCTCTCAGGCTCAGTGTCTGTCAGGCACGAAGGCTGGCAAAAGGCAAATTTAAATTGAAATTTTCCACAGTTGATGTGCTGAAATAACAAACGTGAGCAGGCAACGGCAGGCACACCTTGGCCCCCAAAAATAAAAGGAAGTCCCCGCATACGGGGCGTATGTGTAATATGGCAGTCCGTTGGCGGCGGCAAAGTTAAGCCACTAAAAGCAAATTCAGTAGGAAATGAATGCCAACTTTTGTTAGTTGAACCACTTGTAGAATTAAGTTAAATTATTTCTTAAAGTATACCAAACTTAAGATATTTTAAATGTATCTTTTCTGTTGAAATTTAAACGAAAGATCAGATATTGTAGGCCTGCTAATTAACTTCCCGACATTCCTTCAGCCAAAGTCAATGAAAATATTTCACTTGCCTCTTTCAGCTACAGTTACAACAATAGCCAGCAGCCGGCTCCCGGTCAGGTGGTCAGCGTGGTGCCCAAGAACGACAAGCATGCCATCCTGCAGAGCATCGCCAGCAGCTATCGGCGTGCCACGGATTCCGGCCGTAGCCTCAATACCTTCAACCTGACCCAATCCCAGCACACAAATGGAACCAGCGGTGGTGGCACGTCCTCCCGCCGGAGGAGCTCGTCCCAGCGGCGCCGCGACTGCCGGGTGAGCCACTGGTCCGAGTGGACGACCTGCAGCAAGAGTTGCGGCATCGGTGAGATGCATCGCTACCGCAAGGTGATCAAGCATGGCAAGCGGGGCGGACGACCATGTCCGGCGCTCCAGCAGTCCAAATGGTGCGGCACCGAGCGCAATTGTCACGGGTCGCAGACCTATTTTAATTGGTAAGTAAAAAGCAATTAAAAAATATCTTATTCCAGGGAATTATAATTAATTATAATATATATCCTTTGTATCCATTTCAGGTCCGATTCCGATACATGAACGGGCCCCATGGAGACGCGGTCGATATAAATATAATTTTAATTTAAGGCGTAAGAATTGCTTTTTCTGTGTGAACAAGAAAGACCAGCCAGGCCATTTTTCCGGGGTATCATCATCCCGCCATGAGATTTTAATTTAAATTTAGATTATCATACGAAATTGATTTTAAAGCAGCCAGAATATTCAGAAACATCCATGATAATGATGATGAGAAGGTGGAATAAATTGAAAGCGGCAATGGCAAGATGGGAAGACTACTGACAATATTTAAAACACACAAGGATTTAGACAGAGGACAAAACATAAAAAAAGGATGAAGGCCATTCGTCTAAAAACAGATTTTTGGGTTTATGTGTTCATCTTGATTTACATTGATCCTTTGGTTGCTTTAGCTCTAAATAATATGTAAAAAATCATCATGATAAATATGAAAAACCGAGGAAAATAGAAAAAAAAACAGAAAACAGTGAAAAGAAAATTGAACAGTAGACACGTACAAAGTTTAGAAAGCAAATCAAAGTGAAGAAGGAAACAGAAGGAAGCGTGAAAATTTGCATAACCAAACAAGGAAAATGGAAACAAAACCAAAACAAAATGAAAACAAAAACCAAAAGGGAAATAAAAAACCAAATACAACAACACACTGGAAACTATAAGCGTGGAGCCCAATGTGTGTAGTTCAGCAACTAAGCTAATATTAGATGTAAACTAAGCTAACTAATAACTTTAAATGGATTGCAATAAAAGTCAACCCCCAAAAAGAAAACCAAATATATATTGAATTCAAACATTGGGAATTAAAGGGGGATCTTTCAGCAAAACCAAATAAGTAATACAAAATCATTTAATCTGAATTTTTAAACACAGTAATAGAGTCATTAAAAATATTTCGTTTACTCAAAGATTGAACAGAAAAATCGTACCTCCCTTTGATAATTAAAACCAGATCGTACTCTTGGCCCGTTTGTACATGCTTTTCCGGCTTTTTCTCGCTCGTCCATAGTGAATTCTAACCATCGTTGGCAACAGGAGCTTCAGCATTCCGGAGGTAATAAGGCATAAGCCGGCAAATATAAAGGCCGCCATGTGATTGCGAGTACCGCCCACCAGTAATCCGGCAATTGTTGTGCCGGTAAAGACACCAAAGCCCATGGCCAGAGCCGTGATACCAAATGCATTGGTTAGCTTGGACAGGCCAAGATATTTCACGTAAATGATGGCCCGCAGGGTGGAGTATACAGCTAAATCAATTTAGGGAAAGATATTCTCTCTCAGTAGATGCTATTGGTTTCAAATCAAGATTTACCCACCTGGTGCAACACCGTAACAAAGCCCATAGAGTAACTGAAACCACACCAGATTCTTGCCAAAGAAGGCGCTTACGAAGACGAAACAGCCGCCAAAGACCAGGCCACCGCCGCATAAATTTGTCGTCCAGTTGCGTCTTTTATAGGCCACGATACCGCAGATGATTCGGAAAGCAAAGTTGGTAAGCCCAATGGCAGGGGTAATCAAGGTGGCATAGTCTCTGTGAATCGTTGTCCGGGCCTTGGAGTATACAAAGGGTATGTTGAATCCCATCGGAAATAGGAAGGCGGCAGCCACCAGGATCCGGAACTCGAACTGTTTGAACAGATGATAGTCAAACAGCCGGGACAGCATGACCACGAATTTGTTGTTCGCACAGCGTTTCCGCGGTGGTTGTCTCTTTGAAGCTCTTCTTTTGATAGCTTCAGGTGTATCCCTTCTATCGTCACCCTTGTTTATATGCTGAATGCCATAGTTTACGTGTTGAGTCTGCATTGGCAGGAATACGAAAAGTTATTAATTTTAAATACTAGAGTAAAGACCTATGTACATTCTTATCCGTTCCCACGATAGTGATCTCCCTGCCCTCGATATTCTCCTTGCTGTGCGGATCTTCATATTCAGCGGGACCGGTGTAGAAGAGATCCTCACGCTCAATGTATGACGTCCGGATAAGCATATTGTGATCGTTATCCCGACTCTGCTGCTCCTTGCGCTCCCTTCGTCTTTGTTGGCACCTCCTCCAGCAAGGACAGCACTTGCTCTTGTCCTTCTCCGGATCATAGAGGCTAAGTATGCTTCCGGAATCATACGTACTGTCGGGGGATACGCGCAAATAGTCATGCACGTAAAAGTTCCCATAGTATTCATCCGGGCTGGAGTCGAAAGGATTCTCAGGCATCACGCCCACCTGCACAGGGCGAACCTCCACGAAGGCGATGGCCATTAGCATGACCAAAAGGATTGCGCCCGCCTGAACCCGCAGCATGTGCCGCCAGCCGATGATCGGCAGCAGATAGTTGTTGAGCAGCGAGAATAAAATGGTACCAGCTCCTGCTCCACTGCATGAGAAGCCATTGGCCAACGGACGGTACCGCTCAAAGTAGCAGGCCACAATCAGCTGCGAGCTGCACCAGATGAGGCTTAAGGCGCAGCCACCTGCGGGTTAAACTGTTTTTATTTAGCCAAGGAAACTAGTCTTGACTTACCAATGGCACTGTATACCAATATCAGGACGATTAGTTTCGGACTGAAGCTGCCGGCCACAAAGGCAAGCATCGATGTGATGGCTCCACTGATGGCCACCGATCGGAAAGCGAACCTATTGATCAGAATGCTGGCAAAGGCTCCGCTTAGGAAGTAGCAACCGATCTGGACGCTGGCCACTAACACCATTTCGGACTCCTGGACTTTAAACTCCCGTCCAATGTCCGGCAGGATGGTGCCGACGGTTAAGATGATGCCGTCGACAATCAGCTGGCACAAGAAGCTGATCAACATGATAACCCATCCGTAGCCACCATCCGGTGGTATCACCATATAGATCTGTGGGTGGCACAAAGTCAGGCGTTCAGTGGATCAGCGGATCAGTGGTTCATCCGGCCAGCCACTCACTTACAAAAACCAATCCCTCGCGCAGATTTTCAAAATTCTGGTCGTTGAACCTTGGGCCAAGTGACTCTTCGGAGCTTGATGGTGTCTGTTGGTTTGCTGCCCGCTTATCCAAAGTGGAATAACTTAAGATTCCCGGTGAATCGGTGTCCGGCGAATGGACAGCAGTTTCTTTGGGAGACAACGGCTTATTCCTTTGACGGCCGAATGAAGCATGCACAGAGTCTTCCGAATCATCGTAGATTGGTATCAATTTGGGTCCTGCAAAACATATTCACAAATTCTTGGGTTTAGTTTTTATAGAAACCATTCGACTTACTCTTCTTATAATATTTCTGTGTCTTGGTTATAAGTGGCTCCTCCTTATCGTATTCATCCGACCCACTGACGCTGACCAGACCTTGGGACCGTTCCTCCTCTAAGCTCGACTCGGATTTCGAGACAAAGCTTGGCAGGCGTGAGACGCTCGACCGTTGAGATCCCTTCCAACTGGGCTCTTCAGATGCCACGGGAGGCAGAGGATCTTCAATTCGCTTAGGTAGATATGGCTGGGTGGGTTTGGACTCCAAATATGGCAATTCCGATATGGGCTCCGTAATATCGTTTCTAACAGGGCGATAATCTCCTTTCTGGGGAACCTTGGCATCGTTTTCCCTGCCTTGAGGTTTGTTCGATGCCTCCACAAGTATATGGGGAAAGTGTCGACGAGCAGAAGAACTTGGCATATTGTAGAGCGAAGCATTAGATTCCTTCCGCTGGTTGCCGATGGTTTGCGATGAGGAGCTGCATCCCGCCTCTGTTTCCTCGGCCACATCAAGCCTAGAAGGTGGCTGGCCATGGTCAGTAGTGCTTCCAGTATTATCCCTGTAGATGAGCCCCCAACTTGACAGAGATCGTGACCGTAAGCTCGTCTCGCGACTTGCATTTTGTTTGGCAGGGGCGGCGGGCTGTTCTTCATCCGTAGACGGTGCAATGTCGGGATGGCTGCAGGAGGAGAAGGACAGAAGGTCATGGCAGGATATGCGATGGCTGACTGGCTGGGTACACTCACCTCCGCCTACGATTCCTGCTCATTTTTCGACTCTGGCACAGCGTCGCCCTGACATCTTTCACAAATCTCTCTGCGTCTCGAACCCACATCCAATCCACAGTCCACATACAGTTGCAGGCTACGTGTCTGGCTGCGATATGAGAAATTCCACCAAAGCGGATGGGTATGACCGGGTATTCCCCGAGATCCAGTGACTGTCGCCAGACATTAGCCGCTACTCCTGGCTGCCAACCAAATCCTGTCACGGCTCCCAGGCACGCGTGACAGACAGTCTGAGGTGACCCCATCCGCCAGCAGTGGCTCTTCAGCTTCAGCTGTTACTCTTGCCATCGCCATTCGCATTCCCTGTCTCTCCTCTCAATCCATTCCAGAACTCCAGTTCAGTTTATTTTTGGAAGCCAGAACAAAATTGCATCAGTGCAATTTCATTGATTGCAAGTAAATGAAATCATTTCGATGGGGGAATGGGAGTGCAGGGAGCAGTCCATTTCGGCTTTAAGGGCGGACTGGCAGCAACTTCATTGGCAGTCACTCAAAGGCAACACAAAAGCTGGCGTATTGGGGTCGACTTTGCAGGCAGCAGTTGATTAGGGAAAGTGATGCCCAGCTGGGGGATGCAGCTCGATCCTTTATGAAGGCAACAGCTCTTGGAAAAAAAAGGGCTGGTCTGAGCCCCAACTTGGCTGGCCCTGCTTGAAATGCTCTTGTACAATGAATAACAAACAAAATGCACTAATTAATTAGCGTACAGGCCCCTGACCACTAACTGGGTCCACTTGGTTCAACTTTGTACCATCCACTTGAGCTTTTCCCCCGCCACCGTCTGCCCCCTTTTTTTCCGACTTTTCCCGCGGGTTCGCTGCGTTTTTCCCGACCAACAACTCTATGCGGAAATTGTTTTGGTTTTTTTTTACAAAAGATTTCAACCCGTACGTGCTCGTTTTTTATGAGTCCACGTTGGTATTTTTTTGTGTTTTTGTTCTCGTATTTTTTGTGTGTATTTTGTGGAACGCCTTGAAATCGAAACCGGCCAAAAAGATGGCGCTGCCAAATTGTTAACAGCAATTGACCCAATTTTATGGGCTCCCTCATGCATGGCCACTCAGGCTGGGAACACGAGGCTTTCGGGGCATCGAGACCAATGAAAATATCGGCGTAAAAGCGAAAACTGCCCCGAGAGCGTATACTTATTCTAGTGGATTTCTGTTGTTTCTGTTCTGTTTTTTTCTTCCCCCCTGCAGGGGTTCTCTGGGTTTTTTCTCTGTTTGCATTTAACTTGCAAACAAATTGAAGCCCAAATGCAGGAGAAGTGAAGGCCATGTCAATGTTTTTTTTTTTTGCTTTATTATTGTTTACTGGCAAATCAAGGCGGCCCAGCAAACGAATACATTTGGCAATTAACTTCAGAATAAACAAGGAAAACCCATTTGAAGCATTGGCCCGGAACATGTTCGATTCGCGACAGCTTCCATAAAATGCAGGACCTTAAGTCAACACCACCTGAAAGTGGATATATGTATAGAATTTAAAAATTTTACAACATTCCAAGATGAACAAAAAAGAAATTCAGATCAAAAAGGCCTTGGAACATAATTCGATGTCAACGATCGGACTAATTTTAGGTATCCTAGACTCACTTCCAGCTCCAACGTTCGCCACGAGCAATCAAAATTTTCGTTTCTCCTACCTCGAAACGTCTTCAAAATTTCCATCTCGTTATGTTTTTGGTTAGAAAATGTACACCAATACGGCCCAAGCTTCTGTTAAAAGCGGAAAGTCTGCTAAATGATGCAGTTCCAGCTATACTCCGAATGTATTCCGACTCGGAATCGGATGAGAAGTGCTTCAAATACCGGCCAAGCAAAAAGACTGATAGTGCTGCATGCAGACCTGTGAAAGTGCACGTCCCCAGATTCCACCGGCAGTTGGATCCCTGCAAGACGGACAAAGAGCTGGCCGTGCAGCATCCGAGGTATTTGGGCGTATATCCCAGGTGCGAGATCCCCTATAAGCCAGAGTTCGACTGCATGGATCCTTGTGCGCTAGCCGTGCGATTGGATGATACCATGTACAGACCCAGTGCCAGCTTGGATCGCAAGTTCGATCAATATTGGGTGGAATGTGTCGTCCGCAAGCAGAAGCGTTGCTGCCGCAGGGTGCCACCAGAGAGATCCGTGCGGGCGGTGTACAACAAGTGTGAGAAGCCCAAGCCGAAGCCCTGTGACACGGTTCATCCCATGCCCTGTAAAATGGAAACAAAGCCAGGCGCGTGTCCCAGGTTCTACCTCTGCAACTGTCCTGCCATGGAGAACAGTCAAGTCAACTGCCGGCTTGCTCCGCGAAAGAAGAGATGTCGTCGCCGGCCATGTCTGTACCCCAGCTTCTCCGAGTGCCAGCACGAGGAGCTGGATGTCGGACGGCCGGTGGAGTGCCGTTGCCTGGAAACTCCCGCCATGTGCATTGTGCACAGGTACGAGGCGTTGGGCAGGCGCGGTACCTGCGATAAGCCCGAAACATTGGACGATTGCTAAGATGCCTAGAATGACTAAAATCTCAGATGAAGACAGTCTAGATTTGTTGGTGATTCAATGGTAACTTTGCATCTATTTCACAAAAGGAGAAAAGGGGAACATAACACATTCGGCAAGTGGCGACTTCGGAGAAATGCGAGATTATCTTCGAATTCTGTAAACTACTACAATTTCAAATACAGTAAAATATTCCGTAATGGAAGCATTTTGATGTGAGGGTTTCCATGGGTTGCAGCTTTGTTGAAACTACATCTGAAATATTGTAATTCTGTAGTCTCTTATAAATGAATTATTGTAGAGAATATATCATAGGAATAATAAGTAGCGTCAGTTTCCTCTAAAAATAAAGCCTTACCACAACTTATTCCCATACAATATTAAAACACATTTACATAGGTAATTTAAATCGAAGGATTAACCCTCCAAGTTATTTTCGTTCAATGTTAATTTAATAATTTAATTAATTTCAGTTCTTACTTCCTTTAACTTATTTTAATATTTAGCATTACTGTCCTGAAGTCAATTGTTACCAATACAAAACAAATAGGAAATTGCAAAATAAAATGTATGAAATAAAATAATATCAGATCAAACTATTTCCGGATCCAAGTAGGCCTTGGACTTATGCTCCAAGTCCCCGTCAGCTGTTCGATTCCCATATCCAGATCATACGATTTCAACACGCCGAATGGTGAGCTCGTAAACGTTTGTCTTCCTTCAGCCCTTCCTTTTTTGGCCAAATTTTCCAAATTTCAAATTGTAAAACGCTAAAATCCTCTAAAATCATATAGTTGGGATGAGTGTGATGCAGTTTGGGCCCCGTTCTCTGCTGGCTCAGCGCAAGTCGGCCGCGCTAACGATAACGCGCTTGGCGGAGTCATGGCAAAACCTCGAACTTCGTCGGCGGCGAGTGGAAGAAAGGAAGAAGGCTGAAGCTGAAATGAAGGAGTGCTACAAGTCGATCCGTCGAACGGATCATCGCTGCAACCAGCCACGCCTCGCGGCCCTGCACGACGAATGCCTCGATCCCTGTGACCTGGCACCCTTGCCCCTGGACATGGAGCACTACACGCCCAGCGATAAGAACCGCAAGTACCAGCGCACCTGGTGCGAGTGCTATGCTCTGCCCATGAAGTTTATCAGTCAGAACAGATGCTATCCCAATCGACCGCGCAGAAAACTAAATCGGGGTACTTCCTCTGGCGTTTGCGTGGAGGCCACAACTCCTAAGGGCTTGCAACGCAGTAAGCCAGAGAAGCTCGTCGAGGTGCAGCGAATGGGCAAGTGGCCCTGCTGCAAGCTGGTCGCACCCGGCTGTGAACCTGCCCGGGCAGATCCCAACTGTGGGCAAGGTCGTCCACCCACCTGTTGCAAGAAGCGGCGCACCCAGTATCCTAGTTTCTCGGAGTGCCAGCCAGTGGGTCTGCTCGAACCCATTCCACCCTGCGAGTGCATTAAGCAGGCCAACCTGTGTGACGTGTGGACCTACTGGCAGCGTTACCACAACAAGTGATCTGAAGCCGCAAACTTTTAGGATTTAATCATTTTGAGGACGAGCTTGAAGGAAACCACGTGAGCGTTGCCATTGAGAAGAGTGAGATTTGCACGGGTTGACTCAATTGACTGAAGGATACAAATTTTTAACCTTTATATCTGATCCGTAAGCATTATTCATTATGGACAATTAAAGAAAATCCTTAAGTGCAAGTGTAGTCTGAACCAATAAAGAAGCAACTATAATCGTGCATTCGAAAGTTTCATCAGGACTCGAGCTTTTAAAGGATTTCTTTTTAAGCAAAATATAAAATTAATAAGTTTATATATTCCGCAATAAGTGCATTTTAATTTAGGGGTTTTAAGTAGGGCTAATACAAAGACTCGGGAGATTATTTCTATACCATATTACACATCATTAAGCCATCTTTAATTAGGTGATTTGTATCAAAAGATTAAACCTTCGACAGTGCCAAGTTATTTTCTTTGAAGGTTAGTATAATAATTCAATCGATTTCAAGATACACTGTCTTTGGCTTCTCACTTCATTTAACTTAAATAATAGTATGCCTGCTTAATAAGTGACTTCCAAGTAGGCCCTGGACTTGTGCTCCAAGTCCCCGTCAGCAGTTCGATTCCCATATTCGGTTCATACGGTTTCAACACGTCGAGTGATGAGGACGTAAACGTTGTGTCTTCCTTCACCTCTTCCCTTTTATTTTGGCCAAAAATTTTCATGTTCTAAAAACACAAAAATCCATTAAAAAAATATATAGTTATATAGTTAAGATGAGCTTAATGCAGATCGCGCCGCGGTCGCTGCTGTCACAGACAAAGCTGGCAACGATGACGTTGACGCGCATGTACGACACAGAGAAGAAGTTTGGTCTTCGTCGGCGCCGTCTGGAGCTGAAGAAGACCCCTGACTCTGTGCCCTGCTACATGGCGTTGCGCCGCTCGGAGAATCGCTGCAACCAGCCGCGTCTCAAGCCCATGTATGACGAATGCCTGGAGCCCTGTGACATGGCGCCCTTGCCGATGGACTTGGATCACTACACGCCCAGCGACAAGGCGTATCGCAAGTACCAGCGCACCTGGTGCGAGTCCTATCTCCTGCCGAGGAAGTTCGTCAGTCCGAAGAAGATCTATCCCAATCGACCAAGGCGCAAACTGCGTCGGGAAACCACCTCGGGCGAATGCGTGGAGAGCGTAAATACCAAGGGCGTGGGCCGCTTAAAACCTGAGCAGCTAGTCGAAGTGCCGGGACCCGGCAAGTGGCCCTGCTGCAAGCTTGTCGCACCTGGCTGCTCGCCTGGCCGTTCAGATCCAGACTGTGAGCAAAAATTTCCACCCTCCTGCTGCAAGAAGCGGCGCACCCAGTACCCCAGCTTCTCGGAGTGCCAGCCAGTGGGTCTGCTTGATCCCATACCACCCTGCGAGTGCATCAAGCAGGCCGCAATGTGCGACATGTGGGCCCACTGGCGGCGATTCCATGGTCCAGATAGAGTCGGAGGAGGGATAAAAGTGAAGAAGGCCACGTAAGCGTTGCCATTCAGAAGGTTACAACTTGCACAGTTTGACTCGATTGTCTGATGGACAATATTGTTTATTTATATCTGATCCGTTAGAACTATTTATAATGGATAATTGAAGAGCTTCTCAGATGCAACTAGTCATAAGCAATAAAAATGAAACCGTAATCTTGCAACATATATATTCGAAAGTTCCATCAACGTTTTAATAGATTCCTTCTTAAACAAAGCAGTAATAACATTTAAATAACATAGAAAATGCAGAAATAAATCAAATCATTAAGGGACTCTTGGAAGGTCAAGTAGGCCTTTGACAAATGTGTTAATTTCCCGTCAGCATTTCGATTCAATTTCCGGATCATACGGTTTCAAAACAAGTGGTGAGCACGTTACCGTTTGTTTTCCTTCCGCTCTTCCTTGTTTTCAAAATTTTTTAAGTATAAATACAAAAGGAAATCCAATAAAAAAATATACTTAAGATGGGTGTAATGCAGTTCTTGCCGCGTTCCCTGTTGGCGCAAGGAAAGCTGGCAACAATGACGTTAACGCGCATGTACGACACAGAGAAGAAACTTGGTCTTCGTCGGCGCCGTCTGGAGCTGAAGAAGAATCTCGACTCTGTGCCCTGCTACATGGCGTTGCGTCGCTCGGAGAATCGCTGCAACCAGCCCCGCCTCAAGTCAATGATCGATGAATGCATGGACGACCCCTGCGGCATGGCACCCTTGCCGCTGGACCTGGAGCACTACACGCCCAGCGACAAGGCAATTCGGAAATACCAACGCACCTGGTGCGAGTCCTATCTCCTGCCGAAGAAGTTCGTCACTGTCAAGAAATGCTATCCAAATAGGCCGCGGCGGAACCTGCGTGCGAATGATGTGGTGAAAGATTGCGTCCATGGATCCAAGAATCTTTACGCCGTGGGTCGCAAAAAACTCGATAAGCTTGTCGATCTGCCACGAATGGGGGAGTTGCCGTGCTGCAAGCTGACTGCTCCCGGCTGCAAACGTGGCCGGTTCCAGCCCACCTGTAAGGTATTTCCTCCACCTTCCTGCTGCAAGAAGCGGCGCACTCAGTATCCCAGCTTCTCCGAATGCAAGCCTGTGGGTCTGCTCGACCCCATACCTCCTTGCGAGTGCGAAAGGAAGCCCAGCCAGTGTGACATATATGCCACCTGGCGGCGCTTCCACAGGAAATGATCTGCAACCACTCTAGCCAGCGTTAAGGATCCATTCAACTTAAGGACGAGCGTGAAGGAGACCGCGTGAGCGATGCCTCCGAGAAGTGCTCGACTTGCACGATTTAATTCGATTGATATTACCTTTTTAATTTTTATAGAATACCGTAAACATTATTTTATTATGAATAATTAAAGATACACCCAGAAGTCTGAACCAATGTAAATATAAACTAGCATTAGCATTGGTTCAGACTTCTGGGCGTATCTATCTTATTCAGGAATGCTTAATGGTTAATTCTTGGCTTAGTCCTTTGGCTCGTCCCACTTTTTCTTTTTTATATATTTTTTTTGTGCACTCCGCCGGCAGCTCTTTAGTTGGAGTGCTCTCCTGTGCAATTCCTAAAAGGGATTTGCATGCCGCTGAGATGTTTATCGCAAATTGTTGCCGTCGTCTGTGTCACCGGGAATGGGATGTTGTGACGTTGCGTCGCTGTGAGTTCGTGATGTTGTTTGTGACGTCGTCGTCTGGCGGCGCACAAATGTCAACAGCACAAAGCTCCCGACGTTTACATTGAAAGTCACTTTGGGCGCCAGGCAGCCAAACAGAAGGACAGACAAGCAGACGCAGGCAGGCAGGCAGACAGACAGACCAAACAGAAGGATACTCGGGGGCTAATGAAAAGCGCCAACAAAATCCAATGCATTTTTATTTAAATGCAAATGTTTAGCCAGCCAGCAAGTGTTTAATTGTGTAGGAGGAATCCCCAAGAGGACATCGCTAAGGGGTTCGGTGCGGGATCTCCTGAAATGATGCTGAGAATTTGCCAAACATTTGTCTGTGCCCCGCTCTCGTCCTTGTTGTAGGTTGTTTTCGACAAAAGTATGCCCCGGAGTGACATTTCGCACAAATGAAATGTACGGCTGAAAAGTTGTCTATTTCGGTGCCCAAACAAATAATTTTATTATAAAAGTTGGCTCCTCCCTTTATTCTGTGTCCATGTGTGTTGGTTGTGGCTTTGCCTGAGTAATAGACACCATGTTTGTGTGTGTGGGTGTATTTTTATAGGAGGATATATAGTCTAATGTAAGGGAAAGTAAAGTGAGATATATGTCACCATGAGTTGGGCTGAAAATAGGGATATTCAGTCATGGAATGGGAAGGCAGGATACCCAGTAAAACAACTTGCATTTAAACTTGTAATATGTAATATGTAAGAAAACATATATTTATTGATTTTGAATAATAATAATAAAATTGGCTTTAAAAAATATGTATATATTTATCAATACCAATATCAATACTTCACCGATCCTTTTTGATAAGCAGCACTTTCTTTATTTTATAATATTAATAATATTAATAATATTAATTAAAATTTTATAATATTATTCCTCACTTTTGTCTACAAAGTTCTTAAGTAATAACTTAAGAAAATATGAAATTGCTTTCTTAATCGAAATATGCTTTCTCAAAATAAAAAATACTATGGTTTCTCCAAGGATTAAGGACATAGCAGTTATTCTGCTTTAGCTAACGATTACTATAGTTGCCAGAGCTTATAGACACAAGTATTTATTGTCATTTTGCTGCTCAGTCGAATAGGTTTTATGTCTCCCCTTAGTAATGGAGATTATGATAAGGCTTTACGGCTCCAACTGTCCAGTACCTGGGCTGGGATTAAAAGCTTTTTTGCGGTTTGGATATACATAGGAAACAGGATACCAGGAATCGTGGCTTCACATATGACTGCAGTATATACACAGTGCCCTAGGCTGGGGAAAGAAAAACAAATTTAGTTATGACCAACAAAGTTGCTGTGGACCTTTTTGCCATGCAGCTACGGCCAATTAGCTGGACGACGATGCTGACCTTAATTACACGTGCACTTTTAATGCAACCAGTGTGCAGTGCCACGCCCCCATTTCGACCACTCCTTTTATTTTCCAGCAGTTTAGCCCCTAAGCTTCGCACATACATGTGTAGCAGCACCCCCACATAACCATAAATGTAAAATGCCACGGCTTGCCATTCCCTAGAATTTTTGTTTCACATTTTTCAATACACTTTCGAGGAGTTGTATAATTTTTTTGGATATTAGAAATCATTGGGGCTTTATAATTTTGGGTAACATTAGCTAAGATAACTCTATTGAGTTTAGATATAAGCCATATACATATTAATCCTTTATATCAGAACTAAAGGTGTAAAGGTGTAGACTTGATAGGATACTTTTCATCCCTCTTATGTACAAAAAAAGGTTTATTTACCATTAAAATATTGTTTAAATAATATTTAATTTACATTTCACAACAAGCAAACTAGTTTTTTATATTAGAAAGAGTCTCAAAACTGCGACTTACCCTTTGAAGATCCGTGTTCGTGTTTTTCTCAGCTGGCTACACTTTACACACTTTGTTGGCTCCGTGTCCGGCTCTAAATGTTGCTGCTGGATTGTTAATATTATTTTATAATTTCTTTTTATTACTGCTACTCCGCCGCACTACGGACGATGCTGTAAACATGTTGTCGTGAATGGAGAAGGCAAACTGCCATTCGGGTAGTCAAAGTGCGGCCATTAAACGTTAAGCAGGCTATGAGGGCAAAGCGTTAAGTGCCAAGCGGGGATTTTGACGCTCAGAGATGAAGCCATTTAACCAAAACACCTAAAATACCATTTAAATAGGACAAGAAACATACTACCTTTACAGCTTTAAATTTTGTTGATAGTTCCTAAAACTTGTTGAATGACCAAATGGATTAAGTGCACCTTTAGAGCTTGCTTTTAAGAAAAGAAAGTGAAAATAACACAACGGAAACTTAATAAAATGTTCGATTGTTTTTGGCTTTCCGAAGCTTAACTTTACCTTGATTTTTTAACACATTTCTACCTTTGATTTCTCACCCTTTGGTCCAGTTTCTATATACATATATCTCTACCTTTGTTCCGATTTCGAATTGCACTGTGAAGCTTTAGTTTCAGAGCTATTGTGTTAGCCGCCGGTGCAATCAATAAGCTTTTATTCCACCTCCTTCGATTTCCACGCATTGCTTGGCTTTGTTACCTGGCTTGCTTTTCTCTCCGAAAGCAAAATATTATTGGGTCTTCCTATAAAGTGTTGTTAATAAAAGCAAAAATAAAATGGGAAATGTAATGCCGTGTGAGGGGTATTGGCTTTTAATATTGAGTTACCAAAACAATAATATATAAACTGCAATTGATGAATTACATATATAAAATTGTATCTATCAATAAATAATTTTCTTTTTTTACTTACTACTAATAAGTATCTATTATAAAGCTATTTTTCTTGAACATTCAGCTGGCGTTTTCTCTCTCCTTATAAACAAAATAAATTAAACAAAAACAGAAACCGTATTTCAACAGAAATACCATTAAAATTGTAATTTTTTCACTGTACTTTCAATTATTTTGCAATAAAGTAAATAAGAAGTGTTGCTGTAAATTTCGGCTTTCATCAATCCACCGCCTATTGACATTTATTGAAGACGCAATTCTATTGACATAATTCAAATAGGCAACAACGTGCCGCGCAATTCAAACGCGACGAAATGCAAATTGCCTGACTGACTGACGGACAGAAAGAGACGGCAGATTACGTGCCGAGCGAGAAGACAAATCAATTTGAGGGCAAAAAAATAATAATAAAGAACCTTACAGGACTAGGCAAAGCCTCGCCGAAATGATAATGAAGCACAAATTTTTGGCTCCATTGTGCGAGTGACAATGGGCCAGAGATAAAAATGACAGCCACAAGCTGTTGGCCAAAGCCGGGATGAGACCACCCGGGGGCCATTGTCTCAGAATGGCAGGACCCGCTGGTATTTTGTTTTTTATACCCTTGCAGGGTATTCTAATTTAAGTGAGAAGTTTGCAAAGCATTTCTGATATGGTAAATTTTAGCGATTCCTGATTTTATATTATAGAAATGGAAACAAAAATATTTTTCATTTAAAATATAAACATTTTCATTGACTCAATTGCAAACTGGAAGGGTATAAAAACTTCGGTGAGCCAAATTTAGCTTCTTTTTTTTTTGTTTTTGTCGGAAATGGGTAATGCACACATTGTGGCAAAGCAAAGAGTTTAAGCAGATGTTTTGTCTGGACGGCGTCTAACTGTCAGAGACTGCGGCTTATCGCCAGCGTTTCTGACAATTGCCCGAGTTGCCAGTTGCTGTTTTGGCCACTTTAGCATTTTACCATTTTCCCAGCTTAGCATTCGTCCTCCATTCCCCGGCTGTGTGACTTGGTTTAATTATGACATTTAATTTCGAGTTCATTGTTGGCAAAATCTCACTGGCTGCGCACAAAAGCATGCAACAGTTTTTTGCCCTTGCTGCAGCAGAAGCGGAAGTACATTTGTCGTCGTCTGCACAAACCGGAAGTGGAAGCATGTAACATGTACACACAGCACAATCAACTTCAGTGTTTAAGCGATAAGCATTTAACACACGTAGGTGTATTTGTGTTGAAAATAATTTAAGTGCATCATAAAATATAATTAAATTTATTGCATAAAGCAATAATTTTTGTAAAAGTTTTCTTTAAAAATGTATTGCAAACTAGAGAACTCCCAGAAAACTCTGCATAAATTTAGTCAGTTCAGGGAACTTGTAGGAATTCATACATTTCCAGCTTCTCGGGTTAACTTCCGGGGGCAGCCATTAGTCCAGAGCTGGGATGGATAATGAAGCCATTTTTGGCTAGGGCGCCGCTTTAAAATTCCATTTATGAAACATGTGCCGGCATTTATGCATATTAAATTAGTCAGTTTAGGCAAATAAACAGGCCAAAGGCCCACCGAACCCTTTTTTTATGGTCCCAAGAACTGCGTCATATTCCCACACATTTTGCTTAATATTCAGAGGTTCAGATGCCCCGAAAAAAACGAGAGAAAAGCAAACAAGAAATCGCACTAGTGAGCCCAAAGGGCGGGAGCCGTATAATAGTTGTTTGGGGCAACTTAAAAACGCATGCTGGAACTTTTCAAGTGTGAATTGCTCTTCATTTTTGCTGCAGACACCGAGACAGACCACCCAGCGGAAAAGCTGGAAAAACTGTAAGAACTGAACTGAAAAGGCGTTCATTCGCTGCCTACTCCACTCATAGGAAGTGTGTGTGTGCCAACGGGGTGTGTATTTCGGTGTGAGTGAGAGACGCAGTTGTAACAAAAAAGAAACATAAAATAAAATGGCAACGGCAGAAA